TACCCCCCCCCCCATCATTTTTTTACAATCATCAAATATTAATAACGGCTCAATAAGTCAAAAAATGAAAATGCAAAGATATTAGGATATGTTATCATTACGGCGGTATTGGATGTTTAAAATACAGTAAGCCGCCATTGAACGGGTTTTATCTGCCAGGTTAGGTGCATACGGCCGTCAACGATAAATTAATTCAATCTTCTACCGGCATTTCTTATTCTTCTTCTTACTGTGCCTTGTCAGGTCCCCTGAACCCTGAGGTTCGCAATCAAGATGGCGAGCTGACCCCTGTTTTCAGGGATTCTCTTACCACTCTAAACAATTGTTCGGCACTATGTATGCCTGTCCATTCCCGGATGTGCCCCAACCAGGAAATTTGTTTTCCTCCTACGCCCCTGCGGCCCTCTATTTTACTCTTTATTATAAGTTCTAGGATACGGTAACGATTTCCTCTAAGAACATGGTCGAAGCATGATAGCCTGTATAAGACTGCTTCATTCTTTTGCATAGCCACCCATGGTATTCCTAGCATTCGTCTATGCCACCACCTTTCAAATGTTTCTAGACGGTTGATTGTGGCAGCTTTGAATATCCAGATTTCAGCTCCATATAAGAGCACATACTAGGTGTAACATTTAATCATTCTTTGTCTCAACTTTAAGTTCAGATTATTGTTACAAAGCAGATTCAATCCTGATACATCTAATTTCTCTATCCGGGCCAAATTGCTCAGTGATGTAGCATCCGAGGTATTTAAAATTGGATACTCTTTCGATGTTTTGTCCATTTATCTGTAGTGACGCGTTGACTTATGGCTGACGGCTGAAGACCGTGAGTTTTGTCTTAGAAACAATTATATTCAGTTTCATTGTCTGTCCCATTGCATTAACAGAATATGAGATTTTGGAAACCTAGATCATCCTAACAAAATAGCCGTATCGTCAGCATAGCGAATGGTATAATCAGTTCACCGTTGATTTTGATCCCGAATTATTTTTATATAAAGCCTCTTTAATTATAAAGGCCTATTATAAAGCCTCTTACCGGCATTTACAGATATAGAAATATCATGTCACATAATGGCCGGGATAGTGTATATGTTACGGTTAAAGTCCGATGTCCGGTTAATGTCGACATTAACAGAGGTTAATGTTTGGTTTGGTTTGTTTTTGGTTGTCTTGTTGTGTGTTATTCTCTAGGGTTATTCTCGAGATTAACCGAGTAATGTCGACATTACCCGGACATCGGACCTTAACCGTAACATATACACTAACATTACCACCGGCCCGCGGCGCTGCGGTTTTTTAGCCAGTGTTTATATTTTTATTAAATTATAACAAAACACAAGTAATTTTAATAAATATTGACCAAACAAACCATTTATTCGTTACATTTCGGATTTTTTTCAGTGTAGCATTCAAGCAAGCCATCAGGATCGTCACAAGGCAACATCAATTTTATTGATCCGAATTAATTTTAACTTTTTATCTTACAGGCTATTTTTTACATCCAACACAGCTATGCGGCGCCTTATCTAATTTTAACTCACGTGTTGTTTTCGAAAAAGTTAACTTGTCACTCGACAAGGATCCGGCAAGTCGAGGTATATTCACTGCGCGCAATATCGTTGATCGTAAAAATATTATTTGATCATGAATCTCAACCCGTGGTGGCGTCAACGAATTACATTTCGTTGTGTACTTACCTCATTTACCTTAATTAACACTAGATTTGTTTACATACGTGGCTCGGTGAACTTTTTGGCCGATTTTTTGAGTTGAGTCGGAAGTTTTCGCGTCCCGGCCGGCGGACATGTTGTTGTTTTGGCTGTTCGTGACTTTGGTTGTGTTTTTCGCGTATGTGTATATACAGTGGAGGATAAAAAATAATGAGAGAAAGTATGAGGAATATGAATGTATTTCGACAGTTATTATTGTGGGTGCGTTACAGATTTTGTGTTCTAATAAATTGCACTGCTATACCAAAAAAATATCTTAACAAACAGTTTTTTTATTTGCCACAATCCGACATTATTTTTACCCATATAGCATTTTTGTTGAATTGCATTGAATGTTACATTGTTTCACTAAAATTGTTATTTTTTATACTGCAAGTACGTATCTCATTTTAGTAAAACTAGTATTAAATTATTCCTTTCACGATTGTTATTAGAAATTATTTTACTGTTTTTTCAGAACTAGGTTTAATTTTTTTATTATTTTACTGTTTTTTCAGAACTAGGTTTAATTTTTTTATTGTAACCAAATTGAATTTAATATATTTTTACTACTCATACATTAAACATTGTTTATAAAACTAAATTGTCGGAAATGTTTAACCTTATGGACATACTTTATGAGCTATCAGCAATCAATTTGGTCACTACCAACCCTGAAAATATTTATACTTATTTAAGGCTCACCCTGTATAGAGGGTTCACAAGCAAATCAGCATAACTGAATTGCATTGAGATTAAACTAAAAAAAATTTAAAAGTGTTACAAATTTGGTTTATACGGGGTGTCCCAATATTCCGTGGACATAGAATTATTACGTATTTTTTGAATCAGAGTAAGTTCACACAATTTATCTCTAAACAAAAGTGCTTCGTTTGTCCGTTAGAGAGCATCAAATTTAAAAAAAATAAACACATTTTTTAAGATATAATAAGAACCGTTATTCCGATTTAAATGAGATTTTTTGGGCTGCCGATTTTTTTTCGTAAAATAGCCCTTCTAATATTTGCTATATTTTTTGTCTTGTAAAAAACGCCACTACGCATACTTTTAGAGGAAAAAATCTTTTTCCGAAGCTGACTTCTAAAAAATAATTTCTTTTTTCCATTTTCCATTTAACAATTAACTTATTTTGTTTCAAGAAATACGTAATTGTTCTATTCCAGGGAATATTAGAACTCCCTGTATATTTTGTAAGTCTACTTTCGAAAAAAATTCTCAATCAATCGTAGAATGTAAAAATAAAATAATTAATATACAGGTTCCATTTAAAAAAATACAACTATAATTTTTTTTATTTATTTCGGACACTTGTATCTTGTAAACATATTTGTAAATTGTAGCTCTAATAGTCCTTCAACGAACCCAAAATTTACATTTGTAAAAATTTAATCGTTTATCTACAATATTTTGTTTATAACTGATATCAAAAAACTAAGAGGCAAATTGAATTTTCTAGTCTTCTTAATTAATTATTTATTTAAATCGAAGCTGGCAGAGGAAAACAATATTCCTCAAAATATTATTTTTATTTTTTACGCCTATTTTTAAACATGATCAGTAGCCTCGTTTATAAAATGTTATATGTTTTGTGTACCTATATTCTACGAATAATTAAAAATAATAATAACATGAGTTGTAATAATGATTTTAATTTAACTAATTTGCTTAATCTTATTTACTTTTTATGCATTTGTTTTTAACGTTTGTGAAAAACAAGGGGATTTAATAATTATGTTTAGAGAAAAATAGGACCATAATTTTGTTTGTTTTTCCAATAATTTGCATATTATATTATGATCCCCGTTTTATTGTCTAATAATGTGTATATATATATATATTCACCAAAATTGCACTTAATTAGGCACATTTTGTTTTTGTATTTTCAACATACTATGGGGCTATAATAAATAATTTTGTGTATATTTTATACTGATGGCGCAATGGAAAACGAAAAAAATAATAACAAATTAAAATAAATATTTTTAGCTTTGACAATATCTGTTAGTATACCTATCTGAAGTTAAGAATAAAAAAATGAATTATTCAAAACATCTATGTTTATAGATGCAATGTATTTTCCAGAAATAAATTCACTAGAATTATTTTACATGATTGATCAGTTTAGGAAAACCCTATATAAATAAAATTCTTAATAGGTATATCTATAAATAGCCAATCAGCACTTGTAATTAGTATATCTGTAATCTGTAACCTAATCCTATAATTCGAGAGCTAAATATTTTTATATTTAAAAATATACCAGGTGGGTCTCAAAACTGGCTCACCCCTATAACTTTTTTATATTTTCAGATAAAAAAAAACGAGATATGGTATGTTCGTATGTGACATAAATTAGGATTGACTGACGTATTCAATTGCTTTTTGTCGTTTCCTGTTTCACCAGAAATGAATACATCTTTTGATTTTTAAATGGCACCCTCGGTATATTTTTACCTTATTCGATAGAAAATGACACTTCATCATCTAATGTTTCTCGTGCCGTGTCCTGGCCGGTTAAAAAATACCCAAATAGATCTTTTAATCATAACTCAATTTTTTCAGAAGGAACAAGGGTGGATCATTAGCATATTTGAAAAGAGATTTTTTTTGCGAATAATTTGATACCACACACTTGGTATTTCGAGTCAAATTGTCGTTTTGAACCGCATGTTACAATTTCAGATAAACCATATGCAAAAGTGTCAAAACTTGACATATGAAAAAAAAAACAATTAAATACGTCAATCAATTTACGTCATTATACTAGCATACCAAATTTCGTTTTTATCTGAAAAAATAAAAAAAAATGATAGGGGTGAGCCACTTTTGAGACGCACCCGGTATAGAAAAAAATATAAATATATAAATTATAAATTTGTTAACTACAAACACGAAATTTTTTGAAGAAATCGTTTACATGAGTTTCTTAGTTAAGTGATTAAATATAATTTTATTTATTGTAAATAAATGTTAGTCAAATTAACCATAATTCGCCAATTTTCGTTTTTTTTTTCAGTGTACCTATAATTTTTAATATTACAGTGCAACAACCATGCACGTGATGTTAAGTTAAGGTTACACGACTATCTCAGACTCATTTCACTTTTACTCCTTTCGATGTCGCCGACACAGTCTAGAAATCATCTACAGACGATGACGTCAGTATCGCAAAGAAATAATGATTAAATAACTTGAGCTAGTTACGCTACAACCGTGTTTTGTGGTTAGTAGTGTTTTTCTAAAAGAATTTTCTTTGTTACAGCTCAACAGCAGGAACAAAATGTTTACAGCATCAGCGGCCGAGTTCAAGGGCAAGAGCAGCAACAGCGGTTTCCTGAAGCGTTTGTCTCGGTTGAACACATCAGCATCATGAACGAAATGAACAAACCTCCGAAATACGATGACGGTAAGAAAAAAAATTCTAGCTTTTACTTAATGTGTTATTTTAACATTAAATAAAAGGGGTAAAACGGCTTACAGACCAGCATATAGGAGTGAATCGGTATGGCAATCTAGTAAGTCAGAGACTTACTAGATTGACTTACTACATTAGACCACTTAATCTGACGCTAGATTCCATACCCTTGGGAAAATACTTGCCTTCTGTCTTTATTCAGTACATCTTATTTCTCTAAGCGTATTGACCGTACTCTTCGTCCACACGAAAATCGGGACCCAAGACCAGAAATGCCAGCCCTAGTATATGGTCGTCACAGATATGCGTTGACATGCGTAAACATAACGTTTTACCTTACGTTTTGCCTGTCAGTTAGAATGTAGAATGAATGTGAGAGGGAATTAATCACTGCAACCTTACAGATCTATTGTGTCCCCCTTTCTTCACTTATAGTAGTTCTCCATCTCCGATATCAGTCGTACCAAAGTTTAATGCACGAATGATTGTCGTCTTGGCGCACTCAATGATAAGGTGTTCTGGTGTTTCTCAATTCTTCTCACAGAATCTGCATTCGCCGTTTTTTCTTAGCTTCAATCTAGCGAGGTGTTAATTATTATTATGGAGACAGTGTCTTGGTGACCTTAATCACGGAAAATCTTTGATTTTTTTCGGTCGTAAATCCTGAGAAACTTCTTTGAGTGTCTTAGACCGTTGCAGGAATCTTATTTCAGGTTATTAGGAGTCTTCCAAATTGTTGGGTTCGGCTTTTAGTTGGTTTTCACTTGGAATGCAGAACGGTTCTGGCCCAGTTAGTGAAATGTTCGCTCCTTTTCTAGCTAGATGATTTACTTTCTCATCGTCTTCTATCCCTTGGTGAACTGGTACCCAGAATAGGGGGACTTGGTTTTGTTTGCTGCTTGACTATCAGTTAAGATGACTATTTCTTGTTTCCAATAGTTCCTATCTAAGATAAGTTATACGCATCTTTCGATAGTGCAGATTTTTGACTATAGGATGCTAGGGTAGGTGCCCATTGGTTCGGAGTATTTAGTTCTCGACCCAAACACTCCGATCCTTGTTCCTGCATTTTTTTTGGAAGAATCAGTATGCAAAGTTTGGTTAGGTTAGGTCTTTTAACTCCTAAGCAAACGTTTCCCTCTCCCAGTTCTTTTTATTGCTGAATACTACATTAAGGTGTTTCTCAAAATTACATTCTTGATATGTCGTCCACAGGGAGTGAATTTCCTTTTTGAGGGTGCTCCAAGCTCCTGAGCTGACAATTCTCCCAACACTGATTCCATCAGTAACTATTCTAGAATAAGAGTTATCTCTCTATAATTCCTGACTATTTATTAAGATTATTCAAGTTGTATTAACAAAGTTATGAACAAAAATAGTCTAGCGACATTAGCAGTCAAAATCGATTTTTTAAGTAAAAAATATCTCCAAATATCACTCCGAAAGTTCTATAAGATGTATGAATTAAATTCGTTCAAAATATTGACATTTCACGATTTCATTAACGCCCGACTCCATAGATAGACAATAAACATCGCCTACGTGACAATAATAATGTTAAACATAGTTGTGAGATTAGATTCCTGAATTACATCGCACAAATACTCTAAGATGTGCTAATTGATTCGCTAAAAATATTACCAATTAAAAATTTCAGTAACGCCCGACTTCATAGATAAGCAAAAAATGTCGCATACGTAGCATAATGTTATTAACATGTTAACATGTAATGTTAAACATGATAACATGATAAAAAATATTACCAATTAAAAATTTCGTTAACTTCCAACTCCATAGATACACAAAAAACATTGTCTATATTCAGACATCTAATCAGACTATATTTAAACATTATTTTAGACACGTACCTACAGACGAGTTTTTTGTCTATCTATGATTTCGGACGTTAATGAAATTTTTATAATATTCAATATTAATTAATATCAATTCTAAGGATCAATTAGCACATTCTATAGAATTTTTCGGATTCTATTCATTACTGTTGTTCAACGCTATATTTTTCCAACAAAAACAGGAATACTAAATAAGGCCGGCATTTTAAACAAAAGACGGACATTTTCAAAGAGCCTATCTATTTTCAGTCGCTTTTCAAAGAGCCTAATAAAAAGAACCCGATCTAGAACCTTCAGTGAAGCCCTTTGTTCCGCGTAGGAGATATAGGACCATATACCGGGTGCGTCTCAAAAGTGGCTCACCCCTATAATTTTGTTTATTTTTTTCAGATTAAAAAACATGAGATTTGGTATGTTAGTATATGACATAAATTAGGAATGATTGACGTATTCAATTGTTTTTGGTCACTTCCTGTTTCACCGGAAATGACGACAACATTTCAATCCAGTGTGTCTGTCTTTCAATAGTAGGAGATATTAGCCGATTGGGCTCCTCCACATGCGCAGTTCGCTTGACCTTGACATATGTGGCTTTCAAACCTCCTTGAGTGATTCCAGAAAGAACCTTGTTGTGAGACCTTAAACGACCTTTAAGGTTGACTTTCAGATGTATTTGAAATGCGTTTGTGTACCCTTCACAAGTGGAATGAGGATGGCTCATTGGCATATTTGGAAAAATCATTTTTTTACGAATAATTTGGTACCCCACACTTGGCATTTTGAGTCAAATTGTCGTTATGAACCGCATGTTGTAATTTTAAATAAACCATATTCGAAAACGTTAAAAGTTGACATATGATATGTCATTCTATTCAGAGTGTCATTTTTTATCGAATAAAGTAACAAAATACCGAGGTGCCATTTAAAAATCAAAAGTTGTAGTCATTTCCGGTGAAACAGGAAGTGATCGAAAACAATTGAATACGTCAAACGTCAATCAATTCTAATTTATGTCATATACTAACAAACTAAATTGCGATTTTTTATCTGAAAAAATATAAAAGTTATAGGGGGTGAGCCACTTTTAAGAGCCACCTTAAAACCACCGGGTACCACAATGATTATATTTTCTATTTTCTGAGGCAACGGCCCAGCTACGTCGAAACAGCGGTTCCCATTAGAACACCGAAGTTAAGCGATGTACGACGATACTAGTGGATGGACGGGTGATCGGTTCGAAACTCTGTATCGCGCTGTTGTCCAAGACAAAAGTGTAAAATCTATTGACGCACACTGCTCATTAGCTCATTCACGCCATTCGAGGCCGGATGGGATCGGATATCTCGTGAATAAGAGTCGATTTAGACACTTGCCAAGTTGGTAGGCCATTGACCATGATATGGCCGAGGACCGCGGTTCGGATTCCGCGTAAACAAAGTAGGCCCCGTCCAGATTAGCCCTGGCAGCAAAAAGGAGACGTTAACTGAAATCTTTACTTCACTTTACTTTTTCTATTTTCTGTATATTTCTGCAAAAAGACTACCTGTTTCAGTCATTTTACAAAATGCCAAATCGTTGCCAGGCAGATTAAAAAATGATCAAAGTTTAGTCAGCAAAAGTGTAAATACGTAAAGCATATTAAATAATTTGCATTTTAATATAAATACCACATATTTTATTACGGAAAACAATACTTTATGCTAAAAAAATTTATTTTGTTTGGACTAAAACAAATTGAACCGTTTTTCATAAATTATAATTATAAGTTTATACAAAATATATCTCTATATATCTACGAATATATAATAATCTAGGTACCTATATTAACACAAATGTTACTGCCATGATATCTTGAGTTGCACATTAATCCACTTTTCTTGGAATAGCAGCAATTTGTATTAAATTGGTTTTTTTTCGCAGACTTAACAAGAACATTCATGGAACCCTTGTCCGCAAATGTTTACTACAGTTTTTCTAACGACTCTCTCGTTAACAAAATTATTACCTTTTTAGGATATTTTATATTAATTTTGAGAGATATTTGCTGAAGAAATTTTCCTTGGATAAATACAGATTGGTTATACTAATCCCGCCTAAAATGTTTTGTGCAATCTGTCTAGTCTTCATTAGGCATCTTGAAGTATATACTGAAATCAGACAGATAGGTTCTTTGTAAAATATCCTTTTTTATTTAATAATATGCCTAGTCTTTTTGCAAAATGACGAATTGTCCGATCTATACGCCTGCAACATATACGGAGTAGTATATTATCAAATTTTAAAATGTTAATATTATTAATGAATTAATTGATACATTGTCAATACAACAGAACTATCTTAATCAATATTCAGAAACTATAGTAGCTTTTTTTAAATAATTAAATTAGGAATAAATATAAAAATACTATTGGAACCAACTAAGTAAAATTAATAAAATTGAAAACCATATACTTAATTCCAGCATCATCATGATTTCCAGCTTAAGGTTTTCACATTGTCTCTCACTATACATTCCGTTTTCGTTTCATATCCGTTTCGGTATACCTTCCATATAATTTGTGACTGTATTCACATTATTAAACGTAACCATGGAAACGGTACGCAAATGGAACGGATAGTGTGCATTGTTCTATTCGTTTACAATGATATAATATTTTACGTAAACGGAAAGGAATGTAGCTGATACGGAAGATATAGTGGGAATCAACCTTTATTCGTCCATTTTCAGTTATGCATTTCTTACCATATTTAGATATATTAAGTCTCCCTTACATATTGTAGGCTATAGTTGAGTCTGTGGGAGTCCCGTTAAGTTATCCCTGCTAATTTCTTAATATAATGATCTCATCTTAAGATTGATCTTTTTTTAAGTCTCTTAATTCCCCGTGGGTATCATGTTTCCTTCTTTAGATAAAGTGGTATTCTACAATTGAATATGATGTCTTTATTTTTTTTTTGTTTTATTTACGACCATATATATTATGTTGACATTACTGACTTTATAATGTTGTAAGTGTTACATTATTTGGTTTTAGTTCATTTTTCCATTTTTTACACATTTTCTTCACTTTCTTCCCTTATTTTTCTTCTCTGCTCATTTATTTTATTTCTGCTCTTTCTGAAGCTTTCTTAAGGTGGTGTTTTGGTTTACTTTCCGACGATATTTTTCTACAACCAATCTAAACCCACACTTATTGTCGAGACATTAACAAAAATTTCGAGACAGTAATGCAACTGGTCAAGTGTCCGTCACTCAACTACTTGGCGTGTAATATACTGTTACGTTACTTTCTTAATTTAAATATCTACTAAATAGAGCCTTATTTTCTAGCTGTAATCTGGTTCTAACATTTCTTCTTTCTTTCAGCTCCTCCATCATATGAAGAAGCCATCAAAATCGCAATGGCCCAAAACAATTCGATGGAAACTCTGCGAGCAGAACAGGCAGGCGTGCACCAAGCAAGTAGCAGTTCCTCTGTGACTGTTGTACAGCCTGCTGTACCAAATCGAACGACTGAATAGTATTAAGTTTAAAAATTATGTTTTAAAATTCGATATTAAAAAAATAAGAACTTAGAGTTCTTGTTCTAGAGACAATAAAGAAATTGTCGTCAAGCAAAACTAAAGGTTGTCAAAATTACTTTATAGTATTATTATATATTTTCAGTTACTATCAGAATGTTCTAACAGTTTTTGTGATATTCATATATACATAATTATGTATAGAAAAATTAATAATATATTTTTTTTACCTCCTGTTTATCTATATTCCAACTGAGATATTAATATAACATATATAACGTAAAAATGTCGAAAGTGAGCGCGTGTGAATGAGGAAGAATGATTAATGTAAAGTTTATTAAAGACTAAGATGCACAAACTCAAGAGGTATGCACGCGAAGAGTAAATGCTACCGTAATGTATTACTGTAACAATTTCCTGTAGGTACTGATATATGTGTACATATATTATATTAAGTGTATTGCTGTCGTACAACTGTTCAAGTGCATTCCTCATGTATTTCTTTGCCGTTTAGTGTATCTTAGCGCTGTTTAAACTGTAATAATTATATTAAAATGTATTTAGTGTACATAATATTTATATAAGCGTATTTTCTACCATTAATTACATATAGTGATTAGTAAAATTTATATTAACTTTATTCGCATTTTGTTGTGATATTCAAAACTATAAAGATCCAGAAAAATCTCAAGAATTTATTTATGCAATAAAGAAAATAAGATATGTATATGACAATTTGTTTTATTTTTTCAAAGTAAGTCAATAATAATAAAAATATAATGCTTAGAATATACCGTATGATCGAAAAAAAATCGGCGTAAAGCTTGGAAAAACGATTCATGACATTCCCCAGATAATTTTACATATAAAATAACAGCGATCCTCATTTCATAGCCATCGCTAACGCCTTTTTTTCGATCATATTGTATAAAAAATGTATAAATCAATGTGCAGGGTAACTTTGTTGATAAAGATTTTAAAATAAATTATTTTTTTAAATTATTTTGTTTTTAAAATTTTAAAATAAATAAAAAAAAAATAAATAAAGGTACTAGTGAACAATTCCTAACACTTAAAATAATATATTGTTAAATAAAATACTTTATTAGTGCTGTAAATTTTAAATTTATCTTATAAGATATTTATTACTTCGATATTATAAATAATTTATAAATATTGACGTTTTAAAACGTGGAATTTTGAAATGTTCTATAAAAGCTTTACCAAAACAAAAATTTTCCAAAGTACCAAAACATAGTGTGTTACTGATTTATTTGTGGTGTTATTTTGTACTATATAAGTCTGGATTAAAAAGCTGTACAGAGCTAGTGAAATATAAAAGCACAATTAATTTTTACATTTTTTTATCTTAAAATACAAATTTGTAGTATTAATAATCTTCATCATTTTGTCAAGAATATATCATATTACACTACTATTATCCATTAATAAAGAACTAGATACCATTGTGATTGCAGCATGCAAAATATAAAAAATATATAAATAGATACCTATAATAGCAGTTATACAGGTTTTGTATAACAAGTAACAGTTATTTATAAACTAATGTATATTTGATTAGTTTAAAAAATTAAAAAATTAAGTATACATAAGCCTCTTGTCTTACGCGGAGGTTACCCATTCCTCGAAAACAACTTGTAAATACGCTGCGGATAAAAAGTATGGCACAATTAATTTATTATTATGCCGCTGGATATTTTTAGTTCGTTATATTATTTTTAAACACTCTGTGAAGCTATTTTGAAGTTTATGCCGTTTATATTTATGAATATAAACTCAAAATTTAAGTTAGGATGCAGTCAATAATCTTTACTTAAATTTTTAGTTTTTTCTTAACTTGCTATTTTTATGAATATATGTAGATAAATATTTGAGAAAACTAATAAAATAGCTTAAATAATAAAATGAAATGTATATTAAAAATTAATTTCAGTTTAACAAAAGCAATTTTATGGTTACAAGATCAAAAAGAAAACAAAATCAATAGTGCGTTTAACCACCTTTAGCTCTAATAACTTTACACATTCTGTTGAGTAGGCATTCAACTAAGTTGCAGATACAATCCTGCTCTGTATATGCGCTGAAGTTATTCTATTCTTCTCTTAAAGCATTGTTCAGTTCTTGAAGATCTCCTGGCACCGTTTTGTGATCACGCCCCAACATTTTCTCTTTAGTCTCCATCTAGTCTCATACATGCTCTAATGAATTTAGGGCGATACTACATGCGTACCACACATGAACTCATCACTGGAATTTCTCAACTAGATTTCGACGTCATCAAGATACTGAGAAACAATCCTAACGAAGTATAGACTTAAATAATGCTCTGCAGTCAATGTTTGTTGATTAATCTTTACAAGATCTGTGCGCCCTGATGTCCATCATATACCACCATAGACCATAATCAACTGCCATTGAAATTTGAGATAAACCTGATATTGCACTGGGCATATAGCGCTCGCCATCAGGTCGGTAAAATGGAATTAGTCGATCAGAGCACTACCATAATTCGTCGGTAAAAAATTAATTTGCTTAATTATTGTCTATTCCCTAATCAGCGTGATCCCTTCTAAAATGGAGTGGCGCAATTTTGGCGCTCTCTAGATATCGGAGGTGAACTTGCACACAGATGCTATACTAGCCCTTATTTCATATTGTTTAAGAGAATTTCTATGTGACTGGATACAAATTCGGGTATTTCTAACCTTCTGCAAGTCTTGCTGCAATTGCCTAGTAATACCGTGTTTTCTTTGCAACGCTTACTGCGTCAAAAAATGGATATGTAGTACATATGGTTAATGTAGTATAAAATGGATAGTACCACAAAACTAAAAAATATATAGCTGAATAATAAATCTTACTAATGTGAACATAGATACCTGTAATATTTATAAAAATATATATGATCAAGATAAAAATTTTAAAAAGACAAAAAATACATAGTACCACAAAACCAAAAAATATATAGCTGAATAATAAATCTTACTAATGTGAACATAGATACCTGTAATATTTATAAAAATAAGAATGAAATTATTGGGCAACCTACAGTAAGATTAGCCACGAAACATGGCTAAAATACGACTACGTTTCGTGGCTAATCTTACTGTAGGTTGCCCAATAATTTCATTCTTCTTTTTTATTATGTTTCCCACGATAACAACTTTTGTTTATTTATAAAAATATATATGCATCAACAAATAAATGCAAACACATACCTAAATAAAATATATAGTGCCAATGCCGCAAAGATCTCTTGTTTGATTTTCACAGGGTGGTTTCAAAAGTTTAATTAAAAAAAACGGTGTGAACGATGGCTATGAAATGAATATCGCTGGCATTTTATATGTAAAATTATATGAAGAATGTAAACAATCGTCATTTCCAAGAAAACTGGATGGCGGTTTTTTTTCATACCATATTACAGTAAGACATTTGTGTAGAGTTTTCAGTGTTAACCCTTGTGGTAACCGGTATCAGCAATACCTCTTCATCTCTTGGTTTCATTATAATGCTCCAATTCTTTTAGTTCTTTTTCAGTATGAACAACAATACGTGATTCAAGTATGTGTTTTACATCTTTCTCATCCAAAACATTAAATTCTCTCAAGGCAAGGACTTTGCTAAATCAACGATTTCGTTAATTTCATATCTGATACACATACACAGCACTTTCACGTGGGACAATTTCTAAGCATATGTAGTCAATATTTATATTGTCATTTCTGGTATGTGGTCATTTCTCGTATATTACTTGACAACTTATTGATTTGTTCTTGTATTGAGTTACATCACTGACAACATAACTTAGTTTTGTGGTTACATGCATATAAACAGTTTCTATTTAATAATGATAAAACCGCGTATAAGTGAACTGCGTAAAATGGGTTACTGATGTCATAAGTGCAAACGCGTATACATACATATATGCGAAACAGCGTATAAAAATGCCGCGTAAAAACGAGGAATTCCTGTATTATTAAGTAAATATAACTTATAAATATTAATATTAATATAACATAATATATGAATATTTAAGGACTTCAGCAAGTGCAAATATGAACTCTATCAAATAGTTTTTTTTTACCTTTCTTTAAACCGCAAACTGAAAGATAATAAATAATATTATAATTACAATAGAATATTAATAAAATTATTAATGTTCCAGTATTTTTTACTTTTCTCTACAACTACTTTTCGGTTTATTAAAATTTAAACCTTCACCATAATAACAAAATAAAAATTCTATATTTAGAATTTTTTAAAATGAATGGTTATTTAATATTTAAAAAAATATATATGAAATAAAGCTTTTACTCATAAGCTATTTTGCTATATTTAATACCGTATGATCGAAAATAAAACGGCGTCAGCGATGGCTATGAAATGAAGATCGCAGTCATTTTAAATGTAAATTTATATGGAAAATGTCATCGATCCTCATTTCCCAGCCAAATGGACACCGTTTTTTTCGATCATAAGGTACTGTAATTAGTTTAAGAATATAAAAATAATATACCTAATAACAGATCTACAGTGTCCGTTATCCAATTGTATTATTATATTTAAAACGCCTTCACCATATCGACAACAAATTGGTAAGCCATCAAATTAATAAAAATAACAGAGTAAAAAACACATTTAATTAAAATATTTATATTATATTTTTTTTAATATGGAAAGTGTTTAAAAAAATTATTATATACCTATTTATTTATATTAATATTATCAATATTATACCTTTATCTTGATGTGTTGTAAACAGAGATCAGAGATGTGACTTATTTCAAATACAAGTATTTGAAATACAGATATTATAAGGTAAAAGTACGTATTTTCTCTTTTCTCTTCGTCTGCTTAATAGAGAAATACCTCCAATGTCCATAGTCTGTGAGTTGACAGTAACTCACATTATATGTGAATATTCTCAATATACGGTAGAAAAAAATAGATTCGCTATACGTGGTGAAATTCGTGAAAATTTAATTGAAGAAGAAAAAATTAAAAATATTTTGAAATTTATGAAAGATATTAATATATACCACCAACTGTGATACTTGCCTGTGATACTCTAATCCAACTGTGATGTGGATGTTGCGTATTTTTCTTGTTGTTTGTTTTATGTTCCTCTATTTTTTGTGTTTAGTTTTTTGATTTTTTTGTCACTCGATTTGAAATGTTTATGTCAATGTAGATTTTTAAATTTTGAATTGTCCTTGTAAGAGTGAACCCCTTGAGGATATTGAGATAGATCCTTGTAATTGCATTAAATTGTTAACAACAAGGAGTTGTATATGGCTAATAATCCTGATGATCGATGCCTAGGGAAAAAAATACAACTCCGTTTCATCAACCAATGAAATACCTTTTAATTACCCATATGAAATACTTTTTAATTATTTATTTAATTTATTAATTATTAATTAAAAATAATTATTAATTATTTTTTTCATCATAAACATATGGCGATTTGTCCATACTAAACTTGCCAGGGGGTTAATCTTTTTTGGTATAATATAACAACAAAAGATTAACACCCTCTCAGCATAGATGTTGAAACCAATGCAATCAAAACTCTTCCGCGTAACTTTGTGGATATAGGTAGGTATATTTAATTATAATCGCTATATATCTAATATTCGTCATCTGCCTCCAACATATATATTTTTTACTATTTTTGTATTTTGTAAATACTTAGTTTGCTAAAGTACTTTTACTAAATATTACCTGTGCATATTTTTTACTTTAATACATTCAATCATAATATAAACCAAATATAATATCCACATTTATTAGGTGTGATGAAATATCTGTAGACGAACAACAAAATCCGTTAAACCTAAAATAGAACAAAATAAACTTTTTAAAAATAACATTTTTATTCTTTTGTATCTAGTATTAATAAATGGAAAGAAAAGTACCCATTTCGTTCTTTCAAATGAAATGTGTGCCGTGTGTGCCAAAGTCAATTAAAGAACATGCCGAAGATATTTTCTGACTGAAACACGTAAAATTAATAAATGTATGTAGTAGTATGAAAAACAAATTGGACAAACAATAATGATGAATATGTCAATAGAAAGACAAAATACCAATCTTATTACATGTTTTTAGAGGACTCTGATTTCTCTGTTGCAAGTAGCTACAACATGGGGTCTATGTACTGGCAGCACCGCTCTCGCTGGTTAGAAACAAACAATATCACATACAAACTGCAATATTTAAGTGATAAAAGACTCCCAGATATACACGATTCTTGTTCATAATTATTATTAATGGAATAAGCTAAAGAACTTTAAATATAAAAAATAGTTTTCTTTCAGAAATTATTTTATTTTAAAAAAAGTATTTGAAAAACACTTATTTTATATCTAGTATTTCAAATACTTCTAAAAAAGTATTTTGTAATTGATATCGCAAAAACTTTGTTTAGAACTATCTTGTAACTTGTATTTCAAATACTTTTGATGAGGTATTGAAATAATCAGTATACTGAAACTACCAAACCATCACATATTATTTGATATACAATAAAGGACGCCACAGAAAAATACCAGAAAAAAATAATATTATTAAAAAAATTATAGTTAGGAGAAATTACAAAGATAATATTATAAATAAAAATTTATTTCCCACTTTTTCTTTAGCTTGGGCAATAAAAAAAGAATAATTTTGATAAACATCAACGAAGAATACATTTTCTCAAAAAAGAAATTTAGTAAATTTTCATGTGATAAACTATACGTGATAAAGTACGCAGATTTATGTACTCAAGCTTAAAGGATGCGAGTCTACATATCATTGTTTAAACATTTTAAACAATACATGTGTAATATTAAATTTTTCAAGGAGTTAACACGAAACCAATAATGATATACACATTTTGCAATAAAGAGCGCATATAAAAATAGCATTAATAATTGTAATAAGTATGGGTTAAACCCTATAAATTTTAGTTTCTGTAAACAAAATAGGTGAAAACTAGTAATTATTATTAAAATGTAACTGAATTATTGTAAGTATTAGATATTATTATTAAAATACATACGAGAACTGTGCATTAAATAATATAACCTCCTGAAATTTTCGTTTATATTTTTCAGACTTGCGCATTTACGATATTGCTGGTACTTGTACTCAATATATGTGCCATTAATTAATATATTTTGGATTGTTATTATATCGATAGGTATCTACGTCATATCGGCAAATATTATCTTATCATAAGGAATTGTAAAAAATCGATATTAAAAACTGAATTATGAGAAGCCATAAGGTAAATGAAACATTTATTTAGATACTTTTGTTTTATATAAACATTAGTTCATTTGAAAGTTACCTAAAATAGTAGTTATACAGTACAAGTTAAAGATTACCAACATTGTTGTAACAATTGGTTTTGCCTAAAAATATGCCTAAATTGTGTAAGGCTACGGTGTTTTTGTGAAAACTTATCAAAACGTGAGTAGATCAGCATCATTTTCAATTTTTGTGTCATTTCTTTGTGCCAGAAGCGTATTAAATACATACTTATAGTGAAACTTAATTTCACAGAAAATAACATGAAGTAAATATTTTGAACATAGATAAGAGAAATATATAGATACCAACATAATATGAATATTTTAAAATGCGCTAAACGACTTTAAAGTCTTTCCAACAAGAAGTTCTTGACAGGTGATGTCTGTCATTTTAATTTACAGGTAAATTAGATTTTCTGCCATTTTTTCATTTTCTTCTGTCGAAATTTTCCCTTATTCCATGGGCAGAAAATAACTATTAAAAAATTAAAATACGTTTCTTCTATTTTTATTCTTTACAAGATCCATTAGGCGTCTTGAAAATGATATCTTTTTACATCTGATCAATTAATATAATTTTGCCGTATAATACAAAATATTCCATACTGACTACTCATAATATATTAATTGTAGTTTCTCTTTGTTTAAATTGATTATTCTATTGAATTTGTCCTAAGCAGATATAATAAAGAAAATATTTTTCTTTTTTGAGATTTATCAGATGACAACTCCAATTTTTAGTAATCATCTTTTCAAAATAAAGGTGTGTTTTATTGGTATCCAAAATAGGTATAGTGTCAACACTCATTAAAAAGAAAATATAAATTTATAGCACTCAGATAAACTAGTCGTTACAAATCTAAGAGTAGATAATAACAAAGTTTACAATTTTTGTAAACTTTGTTATTAATTAATGGCAATTAAAATATGTATTTGATGAAAAAATTAATAGATTACTCTAAAAGAATATATAATTTCAAATTTTAAATGCTAGTTATTAAAAAATAATGTGTTTATGATTTTCTTTTAAATTGTAGAATATAAGAATTTTTCTCCGGAAATGTTGAAGCAAAATATTTACTTAATGCATTTCACGCCTTACAAATTAAAATTGTGATAATCAGACTGCTTATTAGTGCTTACAGGCTTACAGTTTACAACAACTTTATGATATTATATCATATACTATACTTCTATACTTGTACTAGTATTAATGTTTTTAATATCGTTGATACATGATACATTGTTTATTAAACAAATAATTTTATTTTAGCATGGCTTTCGAATTTATATTGTTGGCAGCTCTGATTTTCATTTTTCTGGTGTCCTTTTGTGGACTGTTGCAAAAAATTAAACAGACTTATGACAGAGAAAGACTAATAGCTGGTGAGTTAAATTGAATAAAACTTAGTTAAATATACAGGGTAAGTCTTAAATAGGTGCGAATATCAGGCTGGTAGATCCCGACAAAAGAAACTTATTTTCTCTTTACCGTTTATGAAATAAGACCAAAATAACTGAGATATTTTAATTTGAATATTAAAGAAAAAATATTTTTTGCTTAAATTTTGAGAACCACTGGATTTTTTCTGGGTTGCCTTTCGTGTAAATTTAATCTACTACCTATGTTATCAAGATATTAAGTTTTTTAAATAAAAATTTAAAAATTTTTCAAAAAAATACAAAAAATTCCAAATTTTCCAAAAAAAATCGCGAAAAAAGCTTCATAGGCGTGTTTCTGGGGTGAAAATATACTACCTCTAAAAATATTTGCACTTATTTAAAACTCACTCTGTATAATAATGAAATAAACTCATCATAAAAGTATCTTCTGATCTAAGATTTAAATTGTTTCAATACACTGTCACTGGTTATACTGGAACACATTATATCATAATCCAGTTATATCAGTTAAAATACCGACTAACAGTGACGTAGTGAGGAAGTTGCGGGCCGGTGTTGAAATATTTTTAGTTACCTCAAATAGTTTGTGGTAGTGCTAAAGATTGATCATTTGGTTCCAATCTCATTTGGAGTAGAGGTCCTTCAATGGAATCTGTTTCAGTCCTTTTCCCCGAAAACAATGCACTTTGCTGTCAATAGAGTGATCCGCTTGGATCACAATGAGAAGAAGCAAAAGGTCCAGAAGCGCCTTCACTGGTGCGGTGGACTTTGATTTCATTGCCTGTGTTATGCTCAGAGAATTGGAAAGTATTGTCAGTACAAATGACATTGAGAAACATTGGCTGGGCATTAAGCAAGCTTTCAAGAACACAAATGAAAATCTCCTCACGGCTAATCGAACAACAGCGAAAAACGAGTGGATGAGTGAAGATATTCTAAAAACGATGGAACAACGAAGACAATTTAAAATCCAGAATAATCACAACGAATATAAATCTATGCAAAGAAAAATTCGTAATAAAATAAGAACGGCAAAAGAGACATGGTTGAAGGAGAGATGTATAGAGGCCGAAAATCTCAGTCACCTTGGAGACAGTTTCCATCTTCACAAGAAAGTGAAAGAGATAGTTGGGTTACACCATAATAAATCAATAACCCTAATTAAACTGATAAAAATAAAATTATAACGTAAACAGAAGAACTATTGCAAACTTGGAGAAAAAGATAGAGAAATTATACCATTAATCTTCTCAACGACGAAAGATCAGAAAACCCTGCAACTGAGATTCCCATGCCATCAGGACCAAGCATATTGAAAAGTGAAATTATTCATGCGATTAGATTAATGAAAAACGACAAAACTCCAGGGCCTGATGATATGTATTCGGAAACGTTCCACTTAATTAATGAACAAAACTTAAAAACTATAGTACAGCTTTTCAATAACATCTATGACACCGGTCACATCCCTGAAGACTGGCTTCGTTCTCCGTTTATCACGCTGCCCAAGTCAAGTAACGCAACTTCGTGTAAAGAGTATCGTCTTATTAGTCTAATGAGCCACTTTCTTAAGCTCTTTTACGGGTACTGCATACAAGACTCTACAAAAAATGTGAGGAAGTAAGTGGAAAAAGTCAATTTGGATTTAAGTACGGCTTTGGTACTAGAGAAGCCATATTCAGTCTTCGAACTTTAGTACAGAATTGCCAAGATCAGAGAAAAGATGTCTTCATGTGCTTTATAGACTATGAAAAGACGTTCGATAACGTTAAACATAACCTCCTTATATCATACCTCAGAGACTTGGGACTTGATGGAAAAGATATAAGGCTCACCTGTAATTTTTATCTGAACCAAAAAGCTGAAATTCGTATACATAGCGTGGGAGTAACAGAAGCTTTTGAAATAAAAAAGGGGGTAAGGCAAGGGTGTATTCTATCTCCAATGTTGTTCAATTTATATGTGGAAAGAGCATTCACTGAGTCAATCTCCGATTGTCCCATTGGTTTGAAAATAAATGGTATTCCAATTAATAATATCCGATATGCGGATGACACAGTGATATTGGCAGACAATGCAAATGATCTCCAAATCCTTCTAAATAAGGTTAACAGTGAAAGTCAACGACTGGGTTTAAACATAAATACTACAAAAACTAAATTTATGGCTGTTATTTATTTATGTTTGTTTATTGGCAGAAACAATATTCCGAACACCATAATTTACTTAAATGGAGAGGTCATCAAGCGGGTCACACAATTTAAATATTTGGGATGCATGGTTAACCAAACGTGGGATCCGGATCAGGAGATCAAATGCAGGATCGAACAACCAAGATCTACTTTTCTGAGACTGCGAAGATTTCTCACAGATAGGAATTTGAACTTCGGCCTTAGATACAGAATGGTGAAGTGCTATGTCTGGTCCGTTTTGTTATATGGTGTGGAAGCATGGACACTGAAGGTAGCAACAATAAACCGAATTGAAGCCTTCGAAATGTGGACCCTACGACGAATACTAAGAGTGCCCTGGGTCGACCGTGTTAGGAATGAAGACATTCTCAGAAGAGCTGGTCTGGAACAACGTGAACTCTTCGAAATCATCAAGAAGAGGAAAATAGCCTATTTGGGACACATACTACGTGGAGAACGCTATTACTTTCAGCGTCTGATTCTCCAGGGTAAAATAGAGGGGGGCAAAAGGGGGATAGGACAAAGGAAGCTATCCTGGCTGAGAAATATTCGTCATTGGACAGGCATACAGGACTTCCAAGCACTCCAAGTCGCGGCAGTTAACAGAACAATTTGATGAGGAAGAAAAAGATGAACGCCTACGCAGGAATCTGCACGGCACCTTAAGAAGAAGTTATGCTCAGTATTTGCACCACGCTGAGGTTGAGCGTCCTCTAGTTTTATGCTTTGGAACAAAATTTCCCATATAGATCTTTATCAATTAACGCTTAGTACAAACACTACACATTTGCCAGACTATCGGACTGGCTTAGAATCCATTCCCTTCTGGGCGATATATCCACGATATGCCATAGGATCCAAATATATTGAATTTGCTTTCATCTGAAAACAGGACCTTTTTCCAGTCATTCGTCGACCAATGCAAATATTTTTTTGTAAATGTAAGTCGGGCCTTCTGGTTCTTGAGTATTTTTTTGGCTGCTCTTCTGCTAAATGATCCTGCTTCCCTTAGCCTTCTTTGGATGGTCTTAGAGCTTATATTGACACCAGGTCCATCAAAACTTGATTTGCCGATTTATGCGGATTAGTTAAGGCGACTTTTTAAATTATCATTTCAATTTCAATCGTTGTTTTCCTTGGCTGACCACTTTTTTTAAGAGTATTTAAGGAATTTCGAGTTTTGAAATTAAAAATCATTTTGCTAATGACAGACCTATGCAAATTAAACAATGTACTTATGTCCATTTGCCGGCGTACACCATACCATTCCGATGTGCGTTGATTATTTTTTCGCGAACATCCTCAGACAAATATTTTCAGCGTGGCATATTTAGTAAAAATCTAAATCAGAATATCAACAGTTTTCACCTTAAGCAAATATAACTACTAAGTATGGTCAATTTTTATGTTGGTTTCTTTATTTATGTCCCTTCAAAAATATTTTTGTCCATATTATAAATAAACACCTGATAAGATAAATTTGGAATGTGGCGAAAAGTGATGGTATTGCTAAAAGGAAGTATGTTTAAAACAAACATTATTTTAAATATTGAAGGTTTTTGAAATCCGACGACTTTAAAAAAATCTTCTGTCGTTCCTACATCTAATTGATTAAATCTGTACATGGTTTTAGCTGTTAGTGTCACCAGCGTTAAACTTTTACTGCACCTGCAATACTCTGTTAGTAGACCCACTTACTATTAGTATTTGACACGCATTAGAAGATGGTTACGCAAGGCGTGTGCTTTCATGAGCTTTTCTGTGACTGAAAAGCCCGATACATGATGTTATCTCTCTTCCACACTCCGGACATTCAAAAATCTCATTACTCTGTTGCCTTCTTACCTTTTGGTTGTCGTTGTTAACTGAGTTTACAATTGTTCTCCTTTGCGTTCTATTGTGCGCTACTTCCTCCCACTGATTCTGCATGCTTATCCCCTTTTGAATCTTTTGAGTTGTCCACCCGGTTTTCTCTTACCCTCTACAAGCTCACCGTAAAGAAGAGATTTCGATAGGTAGTTTTCTTGCATCCTACATACGCGGCCAGCTCATCTTAAGCGGGATTTAGTAATCATAACTTCAGCGGAAGTACCATTTGATTCTTAACAGTTATCTAAGGTGTCTCTGTTGAAACTTGTTTAATGCGTTCATGTGTCGGCGGTACGGTAGCCAGGTTTCGCTTCCATATAACATGGTAGGGATTATTATTGCTCAATACACTGTAAGTTTTGTTTTTGGGCTCAAGTCATTGAGATGATCATGATTGATGATCATGATTCCTCATGTAGAAAACCCTGTCTTTTCATTTCCAGAATGGTCTTGAGGCGCTGCTAAGTCTGTGCTAAATTTCAGAGTCGACATTTGCCATTTCCGAAATCAAACTGCAAAGATAATTGAATTCCGCTACATATTCCAGTAGTTCTTTTCCGATTTTTATAGCACTGTTATGATTTTCCGGGGGAGCGCACATGATTTTAGTTTTATCAATGTTCAGCTAAAGGTAGGATGTTTTACTTTCCGACACTGCGATATGCGACAACGATGTGCGACACTGCGGTGTACCGTAAATTTAATCTAGCACTAATCAAATTACTATGTTGCTTAACCTATCGACTTGCGACAGCGACATGGCGGCATCGCAGATGTCGCTACGGCACGTCCGCGTCGTCGAGAAAAATAAAATCTTTTCTGAACGACATCGCAGCTAGTACTTTTGTAGCATCCACCGCATCGGCGTCGGTCTATTTGGAATTTTTGGCGGTTAAATTATTTGTTTTTTTTTTCTGTCATGTCACAAACATGAGATGATGACTTCGACGAACGTTTAGTAGATTGTGTACGTACATTTCCATTTCTCTGGGAGATGAAAAGAAACTCATATAAGCATAAGGTGACCAAAGACAACGCATGGAAAAATATCTCGCAGTATAGGCCAGAATGTTTCTGAAAAGGTTCAGGAGCGTGAAGTAGTAGAGCTAAATTTTCTTCTTCTTCGTCATAAAGCAAAAGACCACAGCAATATTACGACGAATAGCGTTCGTCTTAATAAACTACACTGCTTCGAACGACCTGCTGAACTGAAGTGTCGCATGGTAAGAAAACACGTTTGTCGCAAACCCGCAATCCGCGTCGCCACAGTTTATCGCACGTCGTTATCGCATGTCGCAGTGTCGGAAAGTAAAACATCCTACCTTAAGGCGTCAAAGTCTCGTATGCCCAGGTATACGTGTTCAGAATTGCTTCTAATTGCTCTAACGTTTTTGCAACTAGAGCGCAATCATCAGCGTATTGAAGTTCTGTGATGAATATTATACGTATTTTTACCCTAAGTTTTTTATGTTGAACAGAACGCCGGCATACCTGTATCTAACACCCATTCCTCTTTCCTGCAGTTTGCTGTCTCCTATAATAGAGAGCAATGAATATGTTGAACAGGAGAGGAGCTAACACACATCCCTGCCTAAAACCTGTATTTGTCAGGAAGGGATCGCTTAGTGATCCATGATGTGACACTCTCGAATTGTTGTTGTTATGGAGCCTTTTACACACTGTAAGAAATTTGTTCGGTACCCCAAACTTTTGCATAATTTCCCACAGTGCATCTCTGTTTACAAAGTCGCAAACTTTTGTTAGGTCGATGAATGCAACATAAGGTTTACTCTGCTCCCACTACAGTTAACACAGTTATCCTGTCTGTACCTATCAGGTCTATAGTAAATTTTGGCGAGTGTTTTACTACTGTTTTGTTTGCTTCTGTTTAGAAAAGTTTTCCACCATTCTAAAAATTTGTAGCCACCGACTCTTTTGTTTCCATTTTTGTATTTTTTTTACAGCACCGCAGAATATTTTAAACCTATGAATGACATTGATCAGTCTTGTTTGTTATCTTTTTCCTAAATATTTATAGACCTATATAATTTATCAAAATGAAACTAAAAGAATTTCGAACTTGCATTGTCTTTATTTATTTTTGTTGAAACGTTCTGTTAATCAAAAATAAATAAAGACAATGGAAGTACGAAATTCTTTTAGTTTAAGTACTGATTCATTGTCTACCACATTCAATTTAACCAAATATTTATTGAATTACATGACCGATTAGAAAATTTTGACAAAGTAACATGAATAAAATATATAATATAATATCAATAAAGTCAATCTAATTTGAAATTTAAGACAGACAAAATGTGATTATAATGTTTTATGATCAAATATCATCATAATAGAATGCGATAATCATGCAAGATAAACAATAATTTCTGTTATATGAAATTATGTTAGAATTATTTTAATTAGGAGAGTATATAGAAGTTTTAACATAGATATAGCGTATAATTGAGGTAATTGAGAAAGATGGCATCAAGTTGCTCTTTGATTGTATAAGGTTACTGTTGCGGTTGACATTTATACATTCCGTACATGTATACGGCACAATCCCATTGGTCAGATTTGAATTTTAAACCAATTAAACTCCGAGTGCCATACGCGAGTATGGAATGTAAGGCAGTGCCATATGCACTTATGGAATGTACCTGGTAGTTATGCTTCCAGCAGAAAGTAACGCCTGCCTATAGCCAATCCTGCAAGAGTAGCTGTGGCTCCGTGACTGAGGTCATCACTTCGTGAACGAGAGCTTCGTGGTTCAAATCTCACGCCGCCGCCATAGCTTTTTTATTTTTTTTACAACTATTTTTATTTAAAAAAAAAGCTGCAAATATTTAATAGCAATCAAAATACGGATTGCGTTGGTTTCACTCTTTTTGGTGGGGTTAGATTGATTATTTAGTGGAGTTAGTTGCGTTGGTTAAAATGGTTATTTGATGGGGTTGATTGCTTTGGTTAGGTTAGCTATTTGGTGGGGTTGGTTTGGTTTTGGTTGGAATGCTCTATAACAGAGCGTTAATAGTAATGTCTAAAATATACCTACCTATATATGAGCTCTGGCTGCTTCATAACTACTAGGTACATTCCGTAAGTGCATATGGCACTATCTTACATTCCATACTCGCGTATGACACTCGGAGTTTAATTGGTTTAAAATTCAAATCTGACCTATAGGATTGTGCTAGGTGCCATATTTGCTTGCGGTTGGGGTCAGTTACATATAAAATTTTATCGAGAGTCATTTCTAAGTGTCTAAAAGCCGGTATTTTTTTATTCGTACAGTATACATAATGTATAATTTAGGTCGATTTTTTGCAGAAAGAATTGCTCGTAGAAGGGAGCTCCAAAGATCACAACGCAGCTCTGATGGATCATTCGACTATCCTGATTTTGGATACGAAGGAGGTATCTTGCCTGGAGGTCCACCACCTTATACAGGTAAATAAATCATATCAACGTTACATAAAAAATAAATAAAGAAGTTCAATAAGTATTTAAAACTGATGAAAGATTCTGTCTATCAGTGGTCAATCAGAAATGACTACAACTTTTACAATTTTTAGATGGTATCCCGGTATTTTTACCTTATTCGATAGAAATTAACACTCTGAATAGAATGACATATCATATGTCAACTTTTGACAGTTTCGGTCAAAAAAATCGTATTTTAAATTTCAATCTAGAGTATCATGGCTGTGTTAAAGACACACATTTTTAATCAAGGAGCCTTGGAAAAATATATTTAATCCTCTAACTTTTTTCGTGTCTTGTCCTGGCCGGTTAAAAGATGACAAATCGTATTTTTAATCATAATGCAATATTTTCAAATAGAACGACGGTGGTTCATTGGCATAATTAGAAAAGACATTTTTTTACGAAAAATTTGGTACCACACACTTGCTATTTCGAGCCGAATTGTTACATCTATGGTCATAACACCCTAAATTGAAATTTAAAATGCTATTTTTTTTTAATTGAAAATGTCAAAAATTGGCATAGCATTCTATTCAGAATGTCATTTTCTATCGGATCAAGTAAAAAACATACCGAGAATGTCATTTAAAAATTAAAAGTTGTAGTAATTTCCGGTGAAATAGGAAGTGACCGAAAACAATTAAATACGTCGAACAATCCTAATTTATATCATATACTAACATACCAAATTTAATTTTTTTATCTGAAAAAATAATAAAGTTATAGAGGTGAGCCACTTTTGAGAAACACCCGGTATCATCTATCACTTAGTTTTTTTAGCTGTACCATACACAAAAATAGTAATTTAAAAAATGTTTTTAGAATATCACATAGAACCGCCTCCAAAATATGAAGACATAGTAAAAATCCAGGTTGGACAACCTCAAGCTGATAATGAAAATACAACAGCAAATAGGACAGTGGAAATTTCAGCACCCCCACCGTATACCATCACTATCGCCAGTAGTACCAGTGAAACATCAACAAATCGATAAACAATTTTTAACTTAAAATATTTTTGAATTAACTAAGTTATCGTATAAAAAATATAAGTTAAAGACGTGGTTCAATGAAAATAACTTTACCTACTATATTTAATTTTTTTGGGAGCATATTAATTTTCATATGATTACCCTTATACTCTTTTGACTAATCATATTCTATGTAAATAATTATTTTAATATGTCTTTATTGGTTTTATATACCACGTGTCTCAATTATTTATATACCAGGTGGGCCTTTGTTTCAATAGAATAGGTACCTTAATTGATTTAACCTGTTATTATTATCTAATAGAATACCTATAATCTACATCAAATTTCCATTACAGTGATATAACACAATTTACATTTAAAAAAATCTTCAGAGTCGATTAATAATAATTACAATCAGTACAAAGAGAGAATTTAATGACAAAGACAGTAGTTGTCTGTCATTTTGTTTATCATTTTTGTTTAAAAGTTTTTTTTCTATCAATTCTTTAGTGGCATAAGCAAAATTTGATATAAAAAACACATAGAAGCAAAAATTAAACAGTTTTTATATATCTAATCGTTGATTTTTTTAGTCCAGTTACCATGTAACTGTCTACACACTATTAAACGAAACATTTTTAAATAATTTATCTAATTATAATATTCACAAAATATCCTCGAGTACAATATTCCCTTTTAAAAGCAACCGTTTTTTATTTGATTTAAAATAAATCGAATTAATTTGCAATATTAAAAGGGATAACAATGCAATCAATATGTTAGAAATTGGGTTAATTTATATTTTAGGTCATATTTAATATTTACCATCCCATACAGTAACGGCTCGTGAAAATGTTAAATTCCTAAAAAATATCAATATTAGAAAATTCTAGAAACATAAATGTGATATTGAAAAACATTACTTTACTGATTAAACAATAACTTTATTTACAGAAAAATGGTGTATATATGTTATCTACTATTATGCTATCTACTAATACCGTAATATGATCGAAAAAAAAAGTTGGCTGAGAAATGACGATCGATTACATTTCCCATATAAATTTACATATAAAATGACAGCGATCTTCATTTCATAGATCACATCAGAGACTTATACGACATAACAAATAACAACAAAATGATGGCCTGTGAATACCAGAATGTTAATTATTTTTAAATTGAAGGAAGCCTACAACGAAATATAACTTTGTTGTTCTATAAACAGTACATATTTGGAAACATACTGTATAAATGAAAGCTTTACCACAGACTTACTTATTACTAAAGTTAGTTTGTGGCTGTACTTAAAGAGATTAAAAATTATGTTTAATAATAATGATTTGTTTTCTTGATTTAATTTTTTTATATGTGATAATATAATTCATTAAGTAATGTAAAAAAAGTATATTAATATGATTCATACAATTCCTTGTAATATTGATTTCTAAATTAATAAATAATATTTGAATGCTATGTGTCGGTAATTTTGTATTTTGGATAAATATATTACATATTATTATCAGACTGTTTAAAGAATAAATATTATAGATTTAATTTATTTAATTATGTCTAATTACGTTAACAGCCTAATTAATGAAATTACGATAATGTATAATTTTAAGGTCAAATTTTTGAGTAAGATTATATTTATCTTAATGACATCAAACACCAAAGAGGTCTTTTATAAGATTCCATTAAAAGAAAAATCATTTATCACAATCAAATCATTTTTCAGTTTAAATTAATTGATTATTTAGTCTATTTTATATCTGAATTAAATAAGTTTAAAAGCGTATGAATTTAAAGCAAATATTAAAACATAATTCGTATACCAATGTATGTTAATAAAATGTACCTTTTGAAGAAACATAAAAACTATTCTTACTTTATATAGAAAATTAAATTTGTTATAGTTTTGAAGTATAATATGAAGATTCTATTTTTTGGCACTAACTTTACTCATTATTCCTACATCGTCATTTATTGTAAAAGTTTCAATAAGGAACTTCCAAAAAGGTTATATTATCTAAAATCTAAACCATAAAGTTATATGAAATGTAATAAATAAATGTGAAATACTTACTATTCTAGAAAGACTAAAATTGATCAGACTAGAAAAACTAAAATTGATCAAGAAACCAACAACAATTAGAGTAAACACCAACACACCAAAAGAAAGATCCAGTGAATATGAACAGCTGCTGGATAGCATATGTTGCCTGAAGAAGGAACAAACACATAAAAGCTCATGGAAACTCTACTAAAGTGTGTGAAAGAAATAAGGGGCCCACAAAGCAGCGTAACAAAAATAATAAACTCGCTGATGAGATAAAAACATTTCTGAAGAAAAAAAGAAAAATGAAAATCGAGAGCAGCATAAACAGAATAGAATACACAGAATTATGTAAGAATGTAGAATGAGTAAGAGGGGAGGTTAATCACTGCGACCTTAAAGATCTATTGCGCCCCCCTTCCTTGAGTCATCACACAATCTATAACCCATCATACCCCTGTTGTAGAGGGGACAGAGTATTTCCCATCCTCCCCTGATAACAGTTCTTCCTCCAAGGGTACACACCCTTCCACGGTTGAAGTTTGGCCCTCCGTGCCGCTCTTCACAGTCGAGGAGCTTGCCTCCGGCTGAGGAACCCGTGAGGTGGAGCCTGGAGGCCTGTCTCCATTTTCTCCACCTCTTTAACTTGGTCTCTCCTTGTCTCCTTAGACCTGATACCGGTGTTGTCCCGTATTTATAATAGAGCATATGTCCCTCTTTGTCTATTGCCTCCTTGGATTTGAGGTCAATTCCTATTCTGAGGACCTGACCATGACCCTCCTCCCTCGAGTTGATGACTCGCCAACTCGATGTCCTTACATTTCTTTCCCCTTGCTCCTCGACAGAAAGGCCGTTATAGCCGCCCCTTTAGGGATAGTTTCTCCCTTCCCAATTTTTAAGCTTAGGTGAGATTTCCACCAACCAATTCGCCGATTCTTGAGATACACAATCTATGAGGATCATGCCCACCCGAAAGTGTATCCCCGCAAAACGCAGCTGACCCACATTTTGTAGATCGTTGTGTTGCGATCCGATCGCCACTACTTCGTCCAGTATAGACGTTTGCTGGTCGGTGGTCAAAGCAACCTCTGGGAAATCCTTTGGCAGCACCCCCATTTTCACTTGTCCAGCAATAGCGGCAATGACCCAGGCCGGGTAGACGAAACGGTAGCTTATGTCCCTTATTGGGTCTAGAGGTAGGCTCGATCCCGACTTTTGCTAGAGAAGGCTTGTGTGCCACTTGTGGAGGATGATCCCAAGGCGCCCCTCCTGTAGTTTCCTTTGGATTTGTCCCTTGGAACTTTCGTTTGTAATGTTCCCAGCGTCGCTAGGGGGCTTCCCCACAGCTTCACCGGTGGTGTTTTTAATACTAGATTTCATAGTGTTCCCACGAGTCGCTAGGGATAGTCGGTCCACTTCTACTGAGCCCCGCATGCAGAAGTAAGGGGTAAATACAATGGGCCTGGGGTAAATACTGATGCCCCAAGGTTGAGGCCAGTAATGGCTAGTCTCTATCAAGCCACGCATCCCTTTGGCCTAGTCCCGCTATCGTAGGATTTAGGTTTTTGGTGAGGTTGTCTCCTCATGGCCCAGGCAGTTAATCCAAGACCCTCCCCCCCCACACCCTCTACCCGCGAGACATGAAAACAGTCAGTAGAGGGTGCCTGGTATGACGAACAGTAACTAGTATGACTAACAGTAACCGTCCGGCATCGTTATGTGTCTTGGTGCAATTCCTTGGTCACGACACTACAAGGTCTCGCCTTCACTCGTCTTCTGTCAGGGTCAAGAAGATGAGTGAAATGCTTGTTAGACCAAGCCGAGCGCTAGGGGGGATTCCGCCATCAACTGACCAGGAGCTTTCCCACCAACTACAAGGTCTTGCATCTCCTAGGGGAAGATTATATAAGAGAATAAGGAAGAGGATTGCAGAAGACCTCAGAAACTACAACAAAAAAACTTGTACAAACTGCAATCGAATAAAGAAAAGGCTATAAGAACGCTAAGAAATTCCCCATTATCGGAAAGAAGCAGCTAATCGCTAATATTTATTTTTAAACAAAACATGTTTTTGTGGTTTAAAACAATTTTATTGTATACGATTTTAACTCTAAAATGTGGATTATGTTTAAAACTTGCTTAAAACAATTATTTTAAACCCTGTTTTAAAGTGAAAGTGAAAGATATAGGTGGTTCTCAAAATTAAGAACCGGCGCCGGCGGCGTCAAAATTTGAATTTTCAGTGAACTTAATAGTACCCGTGATGGTACTCCTCTGAGTTGTAGCACAGAATTAAAGGTAAGTAATGTGTTATTAATATTAAGTGTCATAGTTTTTTATTAATTCTATTATCAGAGTTATGTTCTTCTTTCTGGTAAAATGAAGTGAACGAAGACTTTTTTTACCTGCAGCACTTTTCTCTAGGGTAACACTTTATTTTTAAAACTACCGCTTTGTCAATTCAAAAACGTATCAACGCTATTTAGTGTACGGTGGTGAATTAGTGTTATATGTTGCTTTTGTTTCTTGTATTCACATACATTTTCTAAAGATGTTGTGTGCTGTATGCTATCTTTGAGGGGCGTCTCACTTGGGTAAAAAATGTACATGTACTGCCAAAATATACTCTTCTTACCAAGCAATTGCCAATGACTGCGAGGAAAACTGCCTATAGCTGGCATGTAATTATTATAGGCGACTGCCATGCCGTAAGACTGCCAATGACTGCCAGCGACTGCCAAGTAAATGTACATGTAATTCCAGTAGTGAGACACCCCTCGGCTATCTATATTTTATATAAAAAGAGTCTTATATTATTCCACGTTCTTCTATGAAATTCACATTTTCAAAATCCTTATGAAAGTCTATACCGGGTGCGTCTCAAAAGTGGCTCACCCTTATAACTTATTATAACTTATAACTTCAAAACGATATTTGGGGTTACAGAACATAAATTAGCATTGATTGACGTATTCAATTGTTTTTCGTCAATTTGATGTTTCACCGGTAATGACTACAACTTTTGATTTGTAAAAGGCACCCTCTGTATATTTCTACTTAATTCGATAGAAAATGACACTCTCAATAGAATTACATATCATATTATCAACTTTGACATTTTCGCATATGGTTTATTTGAAATTGTAACATGCGGTTCATAATGACAATTTGACTCAAAATACCAAGTGTGTGGTACCAAATTATTCGTAAAAAAAATTTTTTTTTTGCTTTTTCCAAATATGCTAATGGCCCACCCTTGTTCAATTTGAAAATATTGAGATATGATTAAAAATACAACTCTGGCACCTTTTAACCGGTCAGGACAAGACACTAAAAACATTAAATGATCAAATCTATTTTTCCGAGACTCCTTGATTAAAAATTAGTGTTTTTAACAAAACTATAGAACTCTAGATTGAAATTTTTTAAAATAAGGTTTTTGTTAACGAAAAATTCAAAAGTTGACATATGATATGTCATTCTATTCAGAGTGTCATTTTCTATCGAATATAGTTAAAGTATATCAAGGGTGACATTTAAAAATCAAAATTTGTAGTAATTTTCTGTGAAACAGTGACTAAAAACAATTGAATACATCAATCAATTCTAATTTGTGTCATATACTATAACATACCAAATCTGGTTTTTTTATCTAAAAAAAAATAAAAAGTTATAGGGGTGAGCCCCTTTCGAGACGCACCCGGTATAGATATTAAAATAGCAGAATGTGAATTGTGAAGTAAAATATAGACTAAAATTGAACGAGCAATAGACGAGACGATTTCGATAGTCGACAGTCAAAAATGGACAAAACACTTGATATATTGAAATCAAATTTAAATGTTGTCTCTCCAGAAAAAAAATATATTCCAAAGCTAATCACACGTTTTTCTAGATTTTGCGCTAATTTAACCGAACTGCCAAGGTCAAATGCCAAAGCTTCAAATCCGACCATATTTTGTAGATTATTAAAAAAATGATGAACATTAAATTTACAGAAACTCAGAGGCGTATCCTATGAAAAGTTATTGATAAATAAATTATGAATTGCTAACCACATTCAGTATAATGTTATACACTACTTAATTAGTACTACCACAGCAAGGACTATTTATAAATGGGCAATAATTTAATTTTTAGGCAAAAAAATTTGAATAATCATTACAGGAATCGAAACGTACAAAACAAATAAAAGTAAAGGTAATAGAAGTCCAGTATAATTTTTTTAGTGATAAATATTTGCTGTTAGGCAAAAATATCACTCTTATAAATCAAAACAAGCTTTATAAAAGAAAGCTTGTTTGATTTATATATTTTTGACGTAAATTTCAAAGATAGAAATTTAATTATTTTTTACTGCTATTAACCTATTTAAAGCATTATAGGTACGCCAATTCGTTATTTATACGTTTTACAATCTATTTTTAACAAAATGTTAATACCTCTAATTCCAAATCTCTTATTTTAACATTTTTAAGTTTATCTTCTTGCAGAACCATATCGTAAAGCCCTTGAAAAGAACCATTTTAGAGCAAGCTTCTTCTTCTTCTTCTTTCTCAGCCTGGTTCCATCCAGTGTTATATAGGCCTTTTCTAGGGTTTTCCATGCTTCGCGATCTCTAGCCAATCTTATCCATTGTCTTCCCGCCACTGCTCTGATGTCATCGACCCATCTCTTTTTTGGTCGGCCCACATTTCTTGTTGTTCCCCTAGGTCTCCATAGGGTGACTTTTTGGGGCCATCGGTTTGGATCCTGTCTTGCCACACACTCTTTTAACAACATCTATTAATTTTGTTTTTTGACGTATGTGGGTGTTTCATATTTTTTTCCTAATGGTGACTCCCAACATGATTCTTTCCATGGCTCTTTGTGCTACTCGTAGTTGTTCTGCTTTTTTTTGAGGGTAATTGCCATAGTCTCTAAGCCATACGTAAGCACAGGTAGAATGCAGCTGTCGGTTGATTGGCACCTTTTTATCCTTGAAAATATCGCTCAAATGCTACCCATGCCAAATGGATCCTGTGTTTAATCTCCGTATTTTGGTTCTCCTTACCCAGCTTGATTTTTATGACCTAAATATATATAATGATCTACGTTTTCAATAATAACGTTGTCTATGGTAATAATATGGATATTGTTGCTCCTTATCTTGGTCTTCTTCAAGTTCATTTTAAGGCCAATTTTTTAGGATTGGTCATTTAGCTCCTTTAGCATGGTGTTCAGTTCTTGAATATCGGTGCTCAGCAGTACAATATCGTCTACCAACCTAAGATGGTTAAGAGCAAACTAAAATCTTATATAAAACCAAGTCAGTATATTTTATTTCGTTTCTCTTTAAGCACCTATTCAACAATTTTGTTACAAATTATTAGTATCAATATTAGTCATCTTTATTTCTGTAATAATTATAATGACTTGGGCAAATGCACGATATGATATTCTGTACTAATTATAAACTCTATTTTTAAGGGCACTGTTTAGATATACTATTTACTCCTTTGAATTACTAATTCAAATGGTAGATTATTCTTTTATAGTTAAAAGAAAGAAAAGAATTAAAAAAAGATTAAAGAATTCGCGTATTTGGTTCAGCGTGATCGTAACGGAAATTATGGAGATAGCAATATTTCGGCGGCTATTTCAGATCACTGGCAGTTAGGTTAGGTTAGGTTGTAAGCAGCAGATGTTATTGAGTTAAAATAACATTTTTTTTAATTGTAAAAAATTTAGCTGCTTTCCATATTTATAAAGTATTTTTTTCTCTTTTTGACATGACGGTAAAAAAACTTATTCACGTAAAAAATGGAGTTAGCAGGTTATGACGTTTCACTGACGTAATACCTTCGAGAAAAGGATGGTACGGCTATGCTCGACTTGGCGGGGGCCGGAGGCACTACCAAAAAGGATGCATCTCCCCAGAAAAAATGTTGTGATATACTATTTGAAACGGCTGCGGCTTCCAAATACTAAATAAACAAATATTTCTTACATAACTGATTTCAGCGAGGGGCGTCTCTGTCGCACTATTGGAATTACATGTACATTTTATTTTCTTGAAAGTCTTACGGCATTTGCCTATAATAATTACATGGCAGTCTTCTTCGCAGTCATTGACAATCGCTTGGCAGTAACTGTACATTTTTTACACAAGTGAGACACCCTTCGGATTTCAGTTAAATGAAAGTTGAGCCAAATTGTAACCTCTGGTATAGACATTAACCAATTTATTTTTTTAGCCTCGCACGCACGCCACTGCCCACCCAAAAGCTCGCTCCCGTCATCTCGTTCCGCTCCCTCCGACCACCGGAAAGCTCGCAAACCCGGGGTCACCATATCGTAAAGCCCTTGGCGTTCCAACGGCGCGGCGAAACCGTTGGTTGTCGAAACCAGAAAAGACAGAGCCCCAGGTCGGGCAAGGTGAAAGGAATTCGAAGCGTTCGCTTGCCTTTTCAATGTCAAGAAAAATCGGCGGCCGCACGGCATATGTATCTCAAAAGTCGCTTTGTATGTGCGCTGCTAAAGCGATCGTACCGCGATTCACGTGATTGTTGCTTGGCTTCACGAGATTCGAGATCATAACAAACGCGGTTGCCGTACGTTGCTTGTTTGATCTTTAAATTAACGCTAACCGAAAAACTTCGTAAGTTTGTGAAGTGTATTCTAAAGTGCATTTCGTTTATGGATTAATTTCTTTCAAAAGCTGGGAGAACTTTTAGTTGTAAGTTTTTATTCATAAATATGAGTGCGAATTTCACAACACAGATTTATTAATTACCGTAATCAGATATAACAAATATTTTAAATGTTGTATATGATGATATATTAATAAATACAATTATTGTAAACATGCCAAGACTTTGATGCCACTGAGATATTCAGGGTGATTCTCTAACTTAATAAATTCAGTAATTCTATTTTTTTTTTTCGAAAATATACAGTAGCATCAATCCCCAGTCTTTACAAGAAAAAAAAATATTACTGATATTTTAAGAAAAATGCATTCTTCATAAAAATCTTTGCTTGTTCTAAACTTCCATATACCGCTTTAGAGAAAATTAAAAAAAAAACATGAAATTATAGTTGAATTTTTTCCTAAAAGTTCCTTCTGATTTTTAGGTCGTAGAAAAAACTCAACTATATTTTCATGTTTGTTTTTTTCTTTAATTTTCTCCAAAACGGTATAGAAATTTGGAAAAATATAAACAGGATTTTAAAATAAGCAAATTTTATGAAAATTGCAGTTCTTTCAAAATTTCAATAATAAAAAAGTTTTTCCTCTTGTAAAGATTAATCCGAGGACATAAGTACTGTACACAAACACGTCGATTAGTATTTTAAATTGCCTTTTTATTAATATAAAAAAATTATACAACGTTTCCCAAATTTAAGGTTGTTACCATCCACAATGTCTCAACTTGAAACTGCATATTTCTCATGACATTATTATTAGTAGTGGGAACTATCGAATGAATACTATCGAAACATTCGATAGTTGCAATTCATTCGAATAATTCGATAGCTAGTAAAAAAACATTCGTTGAAAACTATTCGAATAAAAATTATCGAATAGATGCGTCATCTGCCTTGAAATATTGTATTCTAGTAATTCGGCAGCAAAAACCATTCATTTATAAAATTCATTCATTTATGAAATTCATTTATTCGTCAGGATCGATTATAATAAAATATTAAGTGGATTTTAGTTGTCGCCCGGCGACGTAGGTTTCTTTCGAGAAACCCGACAGCGGTCGGTGGCAATGCTAGAAAGAAGCCGGCATCTTTGATTTTTTGCGGAGTCATATAAAGATAAGGACACATTATTTTTTTATTGAGGTGCTAGTATTTACACAGAAAATACATTATGAAGGGCGCTGTTGCCATATATTGGTATTAGTTGATATTAGCAAAGAATATTATTGTTTGGCTTTAGTTAGTTACGGATAGTATGTCTATATATTTTGCATTTTTTTTATTAATATTCTGTTGTTAGGTTAGGTTAGATAATAAAATATTTCGGATGTAGGAAAATGATTTTTAATGTTTTTAATAAAGACTGGTTTAATAAAAATAATAATAACAGTAATAATTTGTTATACCTATTAACAACAAAATTTAAAATAATTTAATATAAACATTTTTTTACGTAGTAGCAAAATATAAACAACAAATTAGAAGTCAAAATTATTTATATTAGATCCTATTTAAAAATAATATAGTCTCTAAATTTTTTGGCATCGTTGGTTTATTAAATAATAATAATTACAGAGCTAATTTGTTATATTAACAACAAACTTTAAAATCATGAAATATAAACATTTATTAATTTTCTAAGCATGCAGTGTAATGGAAGGAAAATATAAATGAAAAATTAGAAATCAAAATTATTTATATTGGGTACTTTACATTATTATTAAAAAATAATATTTACTTTTACTGGCATTTACATTAAAAAATAAATGAAATATTTCTTCGCAAAAAACTACATGTAAGAGAATTAGCATAAACAAAATACAAACATCGTTAACTTTTTTTTTAAATTGGCACGTGTAAAACTTCAAGTTCATCTCATTTCTCTTAAAAATTGCTACTTCTCAAAATTTCCCATTAAAAAATAGACCATAAATACCATATAAAATAAAATAATTGAAAGATCGAGCTACAGAAAATCACACAAATTTTCGGAAAAATTTGACACCTGCACACGCACACAATCGTCAATTAAAAAAACTACTATTTTAGTATTTTAAATATTTTAATAAACGCAAAAATAGCACGTACTTATAAGGTGAAGTTATAAAATTTGAAGAACTAATAATGCACTGACGCACACAAAAATCAAACGAATACTAAATTTCATTTTTCATTTATCAAAAGCATTCGATAGTCGTGGCTCAACGATAACCATTTAGTCGCACGGCGAGGTTGTCACATATGCTTTAGTATACAAATGAATGAATGATTTTATTCGAATAAAACCATTCGATAGTTGAAATCATTACTTCAGTAACCATTCGATAGTCTAATTATTTACTTCCCATCGCTAATTATTATTATTCTTAAAGAGTATATCAATTTAAACATACTGCAAATTTTAAATTTTCATTCTGTATCATACTTAACCAATCATTAGTATTATCTAATTTGAAAAATAGCTACTAAGTGCCAACACCCTAATCGGAAATGAAACTCGTTTTGAATTTTGAATATTTCTAATTAATTATTGCGGAAATTAGCCGACACCTCTGTCTCCTTTGTTCTTTGAGCTCCTCAGTATATTTTATAATTTGCTTTATTTACTATTCTTTAAAACTCAGTCTTCAAAATTTTTCATTTCCAATCAATTCATTACAATAGATTTCCGTACAAAGTGAGCCTTAAATGAGTTAAAATTTTTAGGGGTGGTACATTTCAATCCCAGAAACAAGTCTATATGTTTTTTTCGTACTTTAATTTTTTAATTTTTTGTCAAATTTTTAAATTTTCTTTTTAAAAACAGTCCTTCCTAATATGGGAACATAGGTAGGAGATTAAATTTAGAGGAAAAAAACAAAAAAAATTTCGTGGTTTGAAGCGTCTTCCTAGACCTAACACCACTGCACATTTGCACATTGTCGTCGGTAGATATGCCAATGCGCCAATGATTAGAATGACCATTGACGGAAACAGTACTGGGAGAATTTTCAGGTCAGGGCTTGAAACGCCTTCAAAAAGAAAATAAAATTCCATTCCTCCAACTCCCAGTGGATGGCATACCAAGAATGTACAACTTTGAGAGATACCTTACAGTAGTATTGAACAATAAAAAGTAGTGAAAAGGAGAAACGTTTGCTCAGAATGTAAAGTACCATGTAGAATGTAGAATGTAGAATGTAGAATGTAGAATGTAGAATGTAGAATGTAGAATGTAGAATGTAGAATGTAGAATGTAGAATGTAGAATGTAGAATGTAGAATGTAGAATGTAGAATGTAGAATGTAGAATGTAGAATGTAGAATGTAGAATGTAGAACGTAGAACGTAGAACGTAGAACGTAGAACGTAGAACGTAGAACGTAGAACGTAGAACGTAGAACGTAGAACGTAGAACGTAGAACGTAGAACGTAGAACGTAGAACGTAGAACGTAGAACGTAGAACGTAGAACGTAGAACGTAGAACGTAGAACGTAGAACGTAGAACGTAGAACGTAGAACGTAGAACGTAGAACGTAGAACGTAGAACGTAGAACGTAGAACGTAGAACGCAGAACGTAGAACGTAGAACGTAGAACGTAGAACGTAGAACGTAGAACGTAGAATGTAGAATGTAGAATGTAGAACGTAGAATGTAGAATAAATGCATACTATAACGCAGAATAAAAAACAACTGCAGAAACTTATAAGAGTGCAGAGAACAATATGCATCGGAGTTTGCTGTGCATACAGAACAATATCTGGTGAAGGTGCTTGCGTTGTAGCTGGAATTCCTCCAATAGAGCTTCTAATAAAAGAAAGATATGCAACTTACTGTGGGGTGCCAAGGCAAGAAGCCCGAAGTAAAATGATTACTGAGTGGCAAAATAAATGGGAAAATGGAAAACATGGCAGATGGACACATAAACTTATCCCGAACATCGAAAAGCGGATTACTAGAGGCTACGGAGAAGTGGACTACTACATAACGCAAGCGTTGTCGGGTCAAGGGTGCTTGGGTAAATATCTGTTCGAAAAAAAAGACCACACCTCAGTGTATATATTGTCATGCCGAAGATGACGCAGAACATACTTTATTTGAATGCCTTAGATGGAATCAAATTAGAGGTCAATATTTGCATCATACAAAAAAAGTGTTCAACATAGGAAATGTAGCAAATAGCTTAGTTGACGGGGAAAATGCCTGGGACAAAGTTACAATAATTATACGACATATTATGGAAAATAAAGAGAAGGAGTCCCAGATGATGCAAAGTCTGATAGAAAGAAGATTAAGGACAACGGCCGGATTGAAGAAATGCGAAAGCGGATTCCAATGCGGTTCTGTGGAAGGGCAGAGGAGGGTTTTTTTAGCCGGCACTACCCTTTCGGGGTGTCTTATGCAAGATTTTCTCCCTCCTCAAAAAAAATGTAGAATGTAGAATGTAGAATGTAGTATGTAGAATGTGGAATGTATATTGTAGAATGTAGAATGTAGAATGTTTAGGGGACTTAATCACCGCGACCTTACAGATCTATTGTGTGTTCCCCTTTCTTGAGTTATAACGAGTTATAACTCATCATACAGTCGTTAACATACATCTTTAACAAAAGCCAGTGTCTGAGACGGCTCCACAGAGGCCAGCTCTCCATCCTCGACATCAGCCGTACCAAAGTTCCTGGCACGAATGGTCGTCGTCTCGGCGCACTCAATGATAAGGAAAGAGGTGTTTCCCCATTTTCCCCACAGAATTCATTTTCCCCATAGAATCCATTTTCCCCACAGAATCTATTTTCTCCACAGAGTTAAAATACCATACCGTAACGTGGTATACTGATGCTTCCAATACCAGAACAGTATTTGGACCGAAAACTAAATACTCCGAACCAATGGGCACCTACCTACCCCAGCATCTTTTAGGCAGAAATCTACGCTATCGAAAGATGCGTACAACTTAGATAGATAGGAGCTATCAAAAAATCCTACTCTGGCTACCCTCTCACCAAGGAATAGAAGGCAGTGAAAAAGCAAACGGTCTAGCTAGAAAA